TGTGTGTGTGTGTGTGTGTGTGTGTGTGTGTGTGTGTGTGTGTGTGTATATCTATCTCACACAAGGGCTTCACCTCGGACTATAAGAAGCTTGGAAGTTTGTTGTACATTTCCATACACAGTGGCCCTTTGGTTCCAGGTTGCAGATATGTGATAAAGTAGAACTCTATATTTTCCCTAACAGGATCCATGTTGTTTTACCTCTTCAGTGCATGTTTAAGAATAACCACAAGCAATTACTGTAAGTATTTCTCTGTGATCAAATGATTAAGTATTGACATGCTCAGCTCTGTAATACACTTTGGTGGCTCTTAGCACCTTCCACTACTTTTTATGATAGAAGATATCATGTTGTTTGTTCTTAGAACCCAAACAGCTTTCATATCAGATTTTAACAGTTTTTTCTGAAGTTTCCACTTCTAGATTTAACATTAATATTGCACCCATTCACTACTAAAATGTGTCATCTGTCATAACTAATCTTAACCTTTTTATTTTCTAAACCAAACCAAAGCCCAATTCTCAAATGAAGACTAACTAGGTCCATCCCATTATTCAGGATTTGAATTTCAAAACATTCAGTACAGCCTTATTTAAGTGGAGGTGTTTTTTTTTTAATTCGGAAAATATGTTTTCATCCTCTCTGAACCTTAACTGAAGAAATTTTGAAGCAATTTGGTGGGGATGCCACACCAAAATAAAATAACACCTTGAATCAAAGACCAAGCATAGAAAAATTCAGCAAGATTTGAACACATGAAAACAGGAGACTATAATGGAAACAGTTGTACAACTTTAACTGTAGTAGAGAGACATTACCAGGTGCCCAATAAAGTATACACAGCAGATGTAAAAGAAGTGTTCCATTATCGATCATACTAAGAAAATTTGTATTAAATGAGTGATTATAATGTAATATCCACAAATTTAAGTTTCTATTGATTCAACAATATGTTGTTGAATCAGGGGGGAGGAATAGCTCAGTGGTTTGAGCATTGGCCTGCTAAACCCAGGGTTGTGTGTTCAATCCTTGAGGGGGCCACTTAGGGATCTGGGGCAAAAATCAGTACTTGGTCCTGCTAGTGAAGGCAGGGGGCTGGACTCGATGACCTTTCAAGGTCCCTTCCAGTTCTAGGAGATAGGATATCTCCATTAATTTAATTTAACAATAAGTTACGATTTAATACACTCTACATTTTAGTTTACCTCTCCTCTCTACATTATATACATATATACACACACACACACACACACACACTGTGTGTGTATGTGTATGTGTATTTATATATACACATATATAAAGTATAAGAACATATTGTAAAAAAATATTACTCATGTCAAAAATTTGTTATGGACACAAACTACTTACTGTTAAGAGCCATAATATTATCTGTTCCTGGATGATGGAAGTTTATTCCCATACGCCCTACAAAGTAAACAGAGATTATTTATTAATATCACATCACACACACAAAAAGGCTAAAATTCGGTATCTTATTTTGAAACTGAATGAATTCCAAAGTTAAATACTGGCATTGCAACAGGTCATGTTATTTGTAATTTCAGTCTGACAGAATGAACATCTAGGTGAACGTAGATTTAAAATATAGAATATATAAAATGGAAGTATAAAAAGTTAAAATACTGTAGATCAAGCAACAAAGCAACTGGAAGAATAAAGCAGACAGTAATAATGATTTTCTAAGAACTCTCTCAATTTGCCTTATGCTTTATACAAGAGACAGAACTTCATTACTCAAGCTCGTACTTACACTTCACTGAAACTGCATCTTTTAGGTTAGCCTTCAAAGTAAGTAGCATAAGTGACCAAATCATTTTAGAAACCCCACAAAATTGCAATGCCAACAAGGAGTTCAGTGTTTTCCATGATAGTTTCCACACAACACTGAGTTCTTCTCTGGATATTCCAATCACTAGAGATTGCAAGGAAGAATCAAAGTAGTGATACTTTGTCCCCAGAGAGAGAGAGGGTCCACAAAAAGTCATCTTGACTTCAAAGAGCAAGAAATAGAAGTTAGCTCTACTTCTGTTAAGATTAATCTTCATCTTCACTTAGAGATTATCTGATTAATGAAATATTAAAACATGCCCTGGGGAAATAACACTGAAAACTTTATTATAGGACTTTCTGAACAAAAAATCCCAGTCAACCGAAAGCTATTATGTGATCTTTTTCCATGCTACGTGAAAGAGAAAAAAAATAAATCAGGAATAGCAGAGTAATTACATCCACTTATAATCAACTTTACTAATGGACTCTTGACTAAGAGTATTGTGGTTCAGTCCATGTTCTGATGTTGCCCTTAGAATTGTGATTAAGTCAGGAAGAGCTAGGTAAAAGGCTAATATTTATCACCTGGTGGGGGGAAAAACCTGATATATTAGGATTTGAAACTGAGAGCTCAACACCTACTCTGCTAAAGGAACAATATAGCCAACTAGTTTCTTTATTATAGATGTCCCTCCCCACTCCTACCCAACGATTCTCAAGATAAAATTAAAACCTCACTCTGTTTTTAGAAAGTGTACCCTGAAAGAAGAATGGAGGACAATCTGTCTGTTTCTCCTCCCATATTTTCAGTTTCTACCTAGAAATGAAAGCCTTCAATCTGAAATCACAGAAGACTATCCTCTTATAATTACTACTCTTAGTGCACAGATGCAACATTCTGTTTCAAGACACTTATGACTTGACTAAGCATTTAAGAAAAAAACAATTTTTTCATAATTAATCATTTAAATTAATTTGGAAAAGCTACAGTAAATAAAGCTACATAATCATAGACACCACAATAGTATAAAGAAAGAAGAAGCACTTCACTTTTTTTGGTAGGGAGTGGCAACACAGAATTTTCACTTTATTTTCCAAATTCCTGAGTCAAAAGTTCTTAGAAGCTCTCCATTAAACTACTTCAGACTCTCCAATTGGAGACAAACTACTAAAGTTCACAGTGTATTCTTATGTTAACCTGATGCTGCAGAAACACTGACACAGCCATTATTTTAGTTAGTGTAAGAATATGAAAAATACTTCTATATTCTTGTCAAAGTTATTACAGTACCCTTTAAGTACATTAATTAGTACAAGGTTACAAATGTTACATACATACCAATCTCTGCCAAATAATACAAGAATTAATTATAGTTATTAGTACTGCAAACCAATTATTTAATTTTTACAATTATGTTTTCAGTTGAAAAAACTGATAATGTTATAAAGAAACTAGAAATTCCAATGCTGATGCAGGAGGTTTGGGTTTTCTCTCCCCCCTCCCCCCCCAATTCTGTTTTTTCTTTGCCAAAGCTGAAATTCTGCTGTTTAACAAGCTACAAAAATAGAATCAAGTGTGAAACATCTGGTTATTTTTTTCAGGCAGTCACTATGCCAGGTGCTGCCTGCATGACATTTTGTCACCTGCCCTTGGCCTGCTATTTTTAAGTTTTCTTTTCAGCTATCTTTCAAGAGTAGCAAAAATGTAGGTTGTACAAGCAAGGAGATATACATGCATTTACTGAGCTAAGTGACCTTGTGGGAAAATTCTCATCATGCCATTGAAGCCCCCCCACCCAAAATTAATAATTTAATTGCCTTAATAAACAGCAAAATAGTGGAAAATTCACTCTTGTATTAATACCATATTAAATATGGGTGATCTAATAAGAATCTATCCCATACAGCTTTGAAAAGACTCAAATAGTGAGTGTCCATTGTATTGCATTAACTGCAAAATATATTATTAAATTATATGGCAAATTACTCAGTGTAAAAATAGTAGGCCAAAAGCAGATGATGAAATGTCACAAGCATTTCAGCATCAACAAAATTTTAATTTTTTGCTATGTACTTAAGTTTATCTTATGCCAAAGTCTTCTGTATAAATCTGCCATCTGAAACCAGGAACATGTTTCAAGGAGAAGATTGTGTTAAAAAGTAGGTATGACTGATTTGGAAAGTCATCAGTTTTGGAGATCAAGTATTATACTTGCACTCCTAAAGAACTATACCACATACCCAGTTATAGTGTCAACACCATGGAATACCAAAACAGCTCCTCTTATTAATTAACTTTGAAAGCAACAGGCAGAAATGCAGCAAGAGAAGTCTGGAACAAAAGATGCTGGAAGTTGAAAATTAGGCATGGACACTCACGTCTCATTCATGTCACATAAAAAAAAGTCTTCTGAAAACTATTTAATCAATATTTGTACTCAAGTCACACCTGCCATTTTCAGTTTGCTAGTCTTAGTTTCACACTTATCTGCATAGTTTCAATTATGTACTTTGCTAGTACATCTGTAATTGGTATATTTAGGCTGCAAAAATTTTATCTGTCTCCATTACAAACAGCTTATTGTCAATCTCTGAATCTTTCCCATGCCATGTGACGTTGCTTAGGGCACAAAAAGGGCTCCTCCCATAGCCCCCTCCCCTCCCCTCATCTATTCTGAGCTGCTCTCTGCAAGTCCTCTGTGTTATGTCTCATAAGTTTTCCCTAAGGACTGTGGATTCTTTTAGTTGGCCCTTTTTACATGTTCCTCCAGCTGCCCAAAGGGACTCCTTCCATGACAGACACTCTGGCATCATTCTTGACACATCCCAGATATTTCCATATTCTTTTCTGGATAACTATGTAGATAAGGAGTTGAACTCTGATGAATCTTGGCATTTGTTATAAATTTATTCCACGTAATACCGGTATTTCCCTGAGGCATTTGCCTTTGAATGCATTTAGACATTTGTCTATACCATTTGTGTTTTTCCAGCTTTCACGTCCATATGTTAAGGTGGAAATAACATTTGAGTTGAAGATTCATAGTTTGGTCTTTAAGTTGTAGATTTTCAATGAACAAATCTTTTTAAGCTGATGAATGCAGCTATCGCCAATTCCTAAATATTATTTCTTCTGGATATCTCTACTATCTTGCACTATCTACTATCTTGCACTGGTAAGGTATGTGAATTGACTCACCTCTTCTATTTCTTTGCCTTCTAACAATATTTGAGTTGGGGTTTGCTGGGTTTCTCATTAGATTTGTTTTTTCACAACTAATTATTAACCCGATTTTTCTTGCAATGCTGGTCTTTTGGACTGCTTGCATGTTGGTTGAGCTGTCAATTAGAAGAGATGTCAGCAAAATCTTAATCTTCTAGTGTACTGTTACTGAACCACACAATGTCTGCATGGTATCCATCTACACTTTTTCTCATAATGGAGTCAATGCCAAACAGGAGAGGTGGGCGAAAGCATCCTTTTTGACACTAGTATCTATATTAAACTATTCACTCAAGTCTGCATGTACTTTAACCATGCATGTTGTACCTTGCTATAAGGTCTTGATATTTTTGTTGGCATACCAGGACACTTCCTGAGTGAATTGTGACTGATACCATCAAATACTTTTATCTAATACATTTATGATTAATTGTTTCTGTCATTTAATGCTCTTTGATGATTATTCTTTGGGTGAAAATCTGGTCAACACATGATTTTCTAGGTAAAAATTCAGCCTGCTCCTCCCTTAGCTTTGCCTCAACTACTTGTGTTTTTTCTGCTTAAGATGATACACTCCCTTCAGTGACAGGCAAAGCCTTCTGCAGTAACACCTCACCAGTTATTGCAGTTACTTGTGTCATCTTTCTTTGGTATTTGACTACAGTATAATGATATTTTTCCATTGTTCTAGAGGCTTTTTCCTAGTCCCATGCTTTGCTGAAAAGTTCAGTGATTTTATCAATGGTTTCATCCTCACATGCTTCAACGCTTCTCTAGTGACTTGGTCTGCAGCTTTCCCAGATTTTAAAACTTTTTCACTGAGTCTTTCACTTCTTTGCTTGTGATATGAGATGTTACAATGTCTAATTCTGGCTATTTAAATTCTTTGACAAAGTTAACAGTTTCTTGTGGAGTTAGAGTGCTTGCCCATCCGTCTCTGCTCTTTTTCTGTTAGAGTCTTTCCTTGTTTATCCTTAACACAGAATCATAGAATATCAGGGTTGGAAGGGATCTCAGGAGATCATCTAGTCCAACCCCCTGCTCAAAGCAGGACCTAACCCCCAACTAACATGGCCCCCAAGCTAGTGTAAACTTGCCGTTTAGAGCCTTGTTGAGTTGGTAAAGTGTTTTATCACCACCTCTTTCAGTAGGCACTCCAGCTTCTTTGACATTGTTGTCTATGCATTTCCTCTTATCTCTTCTTGTGCTACTTTACATGGCTTTATCCTTTATTTCATACAGATTTTTGCCAATGCTTTTTTCTGGAGTATTTTTGAGGAGCTAATGTTTGCTTTAACTTGTTTCCTTTATTTCACAGAGTTCAACGTACCTGCACTTATCCAGTCTTGATGTTTGCTCGTGTGGGAAAAACTACAGTTATTGGCATCTATAGTACTGTCAGGCAAAAAGC